TGCAGCTGTAAGAACTTCTCTCTGCAGCTGTAAGAACTTCTCTCTGCAGCTGTAAGAACTTCTCTCTGCAGCTGTAAGAACTTCTCTCTGCAGCTGTAAGAACGTCTCTCTTCTCTCTGCAGCTTTAAGACGTTCTCCTGTGCAGCTGTAGAGGTGAAGAATGAGCCCGTTCTCAGTTTTTCTGAGGGGAGTCCGGAGCGGGCGGAGCTCCTGCAGGTCTGAAGGTTCCATCAGTTCCTGTCCTCGATCATTGGGTCAGCTGTGTTTAACCTGACGTGGTTCTGCAGGTTCTGGACCGTCTCAAGGGTCAGACAGAGGAGATCCCTTGTGTGGTGGGAGATGAACACGTGTGGACCAAAGACATCAGATACCAGCTGTCTGTAAGGACCCGGTTCTGATCAACGTAAACTCTGTTTGAGGTTTGGTTCTGATGGTTCTTTGTGTTCCAGCCCTTCAACCATTCTCACAAAGTGGCAAAGTTCTGCTATGCTGACAAGGTGAGCTTCAGAACTTTACCTGGACTCATCTGCAGAACTCTAAATCATTCAGTGGTTTTGGACCTTGTAGACCACTGGTTCTTATGGTTCTGCTTGTTTGGACCCACCTCAGGAGCTCATCAGTAAGGCCATCCAGGCTTCGGTGGCAGCCAGGAAAGAGTGGGACCTGAAGCCCATCCAGGACCGGGCCCAGGTCTTCTTCAAGGCCGCCGATGTCATCAGTGGACCCAAACGAGCAGAGATCCTGGCCAAGACCATGATTGGACAGGTAGGTGTCACCTGAGAGTCCACACCTAGACACCCTGGTCCTTCCAGGTCCTCCTCCATCTGTCTGTCTGGTTCTCAGGGCAAAACTGTGGTTCAGGCAGAGATCGATGCCGCCGCAGAGCTCATCGACTTCTTAAGATTTAACGCCAAACACGCCGTGGAGCTGGAGGCGCAGCAGCCAATCAGCACGAAGGAGAGCAGCAACACCACGCTGTACCGAGGGCTGGAGGTAGGACCCCCACCTGTCCCCTGCCTGTCCCCCACCTGTCCCTCAGACAACAGCAGAGGTCCAGGACCTGAGCCATGTGTCTGAGGTGGTCCAGGACCTGAGCCATGTGTCTGAGGTGGTCCAGGACCTGAGCCATGTGTCTGAGGTGGTCCAGGACCTGAACCATGTGTCTGAGGTGGTCCAGGACCTGAGCTATGTCCCTGCTGTGTTTCAGGGCTTCGTGGCAGCTGTGTCTCCATTTAACTTCACTGCCATCGGAGGAAACCTCGCAGGAACTCCAGCTCTCATGGTGAGTGTTGGAAGGACAGGTCCAATGAGACAGAGTCAGGCTTTACAGAGTCAGGCTTTACAGAGTCAGGCTTTACAGAGTCTGGCTTTACAGATTCAGGCTTTACAGAGTCAGGCTTTACAGATTCAGGCTTTACAGAGTCTGGGTTTACAGAGTCAGGCTTTACAGAGTCTGGCTTTACAGAGTCAGGGTTTACAGATTCAGGGTTTACAGAGTCTGGCTTTACAGAGTCAGGCTTTACAGAGTCAGGCTTTACAGATTCAGGGTTTACAGAGTCAGGGTTTACAGATTCAGGCTTTACAGAGTCAGGGTTTACAGATTCAGGCTTTACAGAGTCAGGGTTTACAGATTCAGGC